CATTTAATGCACATGAACAATTATTATCATAAACAATTCCTTGAGTTCGCATCACATAATGATTAAGTTTATATTCAGAAGATCTTTCAGGTAAGAAATATTCGTAATTTGTTCCGTAAGCTGATATGATAGCATTACCATGATTAATATCTCTATGTAAAGAGAGATAGCGAAGAAGCATTACAGGAGCATTCGATTTATTTTCTTCAATAAGTGCGTTCATTTGTGTATTTAAAACTGATTTTGGGAGAAGTTGAATAGTTACAAATAATGAAGAAAGAAATTGTTGAATAAAAGCATTGACTGATTGATTGGAAAAATCACATAATCCAGCAAGATATTGTAAATGAGCTGATAGAAAACGACGATAATCTCTTCGATCATAATTTGATAGATTGGAAACAAGACCAGTTGTAATATTTATTCGCCATTCATTTGAAATGAATTGACTTGAACATACCTGATGAAAGATAGGTTCAATTTTGATATATTTACCATATGTTGATGATGTTATTGAACAAGGACAATGAACTGTGTCACCATGATTTTGTAGAAGATATTCATAAGTTTCAAGGGATGGTTTAATGTAAGTCTTTGTTAAAATTTCAGGTTGTACAAGAGTTTGAAGGCTAAGAATGACAACTCCAATAATAAGTAACAAAACGTAGAGACGACTGGCCAATTGATTCAAACGTTTTGCTTTTATTTGATCATTAATTTGTCCAAAACTATATGATGGAAATATTGTCAGAGTGATTAGTTCAGTATAAAGTAATTTCAATAAATTTTTCAATAATATTTTCATTCGTGCAAAGAATTTACTCTGTTCTGAAGGTTTGTTTTTTGTTTGGAAAAATTGATAAATAAAATTGACCATATGAGGTGTAATAAATCGTAAGGCAATAATAAGACCACCAATAGTCGATATTATTTTAGTAATTACTCCAATATAATTATATGTTCGAGCTGTATAAGAATAAGTACAATAATTTGGTGCACATGTTTTGTAATAGAGATTAAAC